AATTCAGATATATTTTATGCGAAGCACACATAAAAATAACCCTCCTTACACTCATTTGGAAGCAAGTCGCATCTTTAAATTTTCCACCAGAACAAGTAGTATCCTCCATTTAAAAAACGCTCACATTATGGGTATTTTTAAGACTGTGAAATGTCCATCCAGGCAGCATCGCCTCCCACCGTCTATAAATGCTTCTTGTTTAGTCCATATACATTGCAAAATGCAATAGGCCCTCTATCGTATCTTAATGGAATTGGGGAACGCATGATTTTCCCTACATAGAAAGTGTACACCTGGTCGCTTTGAAGCGGCGGGTCAGGTAAAATTGTGTGGTAGTTGAAAGGCTTTGTTCAAATCCGAAAGATGCTATTTTTCAAATATCCAATTTGAAGATGTGATTTACTGAGTAGGTCGGATCTTGTTTCGTAGCCGTACCTGCAGTTGACAGGCCCCATCCTGACCCCTAACCCATGACTTCTAACTCCAAACCTCTAACCTCAACCCCTAGCCCCCAACCTTAGCCCCTAACCCTGACCTCTAACCCCAATCCATGTCAGGTACGGCTGTGAAATGTGATCTTGCCAGTGAATACAAGGAAGGATGTTTTTGTGCACGTTTTCTATAAAATACGCCTGAATATTTAGGGACACCAAAAATCAATGGTGAGATCGTGCTACTTATGCAGCCCGTCTTTATCGAGCGCATATCTGCAGGCGGCCGGAAAGACGCACAGTCAAAAGTCGGCATCCTGCGTGACCAAAGTATCCTGGGGTTGTCCAAGAAAGCCGCCAATGTTCCCCCGGGAACAGTGGTGTTTCGAATCGTTGCCGACGGACGCGCTATTGAACTTCCAGTAGATATGCTAAATCAAGAAATGTTAACCGAAATTCTGAAACGCAATTTCGACTTGAAAAGTCTTCTTAATTAGGGTTATAATATTAATCATCTTGTAGCATAAGCCCAAGATAATTCAGTCGCTTCGAGATGCCAGCTTTTGAACGAACTTCTTCCCGGCCGCCTGCGAAAACAGCACTCTGCAAAAAATGACCACTTATGTAGCATGAATTTTCCTCGTTGACTTTCGCTGCCCCTATAAATTCAAATATGTTGCATAGAGAACATGCATAAAAATATTCATTCCTTTACTCATCTGGTAGAAAATCACGCCTTCTTTACATTTTTACGTGAAGGAGGGGTATAATTCGGTTTTTAAAAAACTGTTCCAATTCACGGTTACTTTTGAACCCGAACCCGGCGTCGTAAAATTTGGCAGTGGGGTTGAGCCATATCGTAACCTTTATAAGCAACACCATTAATTGAGGAGACATGATGTTTTATGAACGGGCATTTTACGGTCTTTAAAAATCTTATAATTAGAAACTTTTAAGACCGAATTATGCCTTCGCTCATGCATAAACTTTGAGGACAACACACTTTTCTTCAAAATAAGTAAAAGAATGAATATTTTGTGCGTGTTTTCCATGAAATATATCTACATTTATTAGAGCATTGAAAATCAGTGAGAAAAATTCATACCGCACAAGTAATTATTTTTACAGATAGTCGACTTTTGGGACAAAATAACCCATGGCCAACAAACGGTCAACTTTTTGAACATCTTAATCCAATTGCCGGCACATGCACACCCTGCATCCTGTGATCTCTTCGTCGAAGGAAACTGAACAAAGCCAGTTGCATTAGTGGCGGAAGAAACTACGGATGCTTCGGATGCTTGATGAGCTGAGTTACACCCTCTTACGGAAAACTATGCCCAGCCTCTTTGAGGAGTGTCTAGAGAATCGACATTACTGGTAGATTTGTCGTCCTGCTCCGATTTCATTTCAGTCACCCTTTGGGGTTGAATAGAGTACTGATATCCCGTTCACCGAATTGTGAGGTTGCACTTCCTTAAAAAATGATTTGGACGGAGATTGAGACTGGGTGTCCGAAGTATGAGCGACTCACTGCCGCAATTACTGCTCATAGTCGGTGACCGATCTCACGAAATGTAAACCGAAATCCTGAAATGTGTTTACGATTACGAAAGACTACTTAAGGGGGGTTGTACAACTGATCATCATGCGACATAATCCGATAATATTTCGGATCGCCTAGGATGCTGGCTTTTGAATGTACCTCTTTTTGATCTCTGCAAAAGACGTATTCGGTAAGTAGCGTGAATCCTCCACATTGATTTTCGATGCCTTTATAAATTCGGACGGTTTTTTCTGTAGAATCCATGCATAAAAATATTCTCTCGTCGACTCATTTGGTGAAAAATAATGTTCTCTTCACATTTTATACTCGAATAAAGTACATTGCTCTGTTTTAAATTTTTTTAGTAATTATGAGACTTTTAAGACTATGCGATGTCCATTCATACAGCATCGTAGATGTTTATCTATTGATGCTTCTCATAAAGTATACAATATAGTCCGCATCCACTGCAAAATTCTATGAGCTTTACTTGGCTTATTCTTAAATGCATAGAGGAAAGTATATACCTTTTAGACTGCAACCGCTAGATGCGAATGCAGCGACAGGTTGAACTCAAAACTATTCGGTAATTGAAAAACTTTTTAAAACTGATAGATACCTTTTCTTCGAGTACAAATTCTCAAGAAGAGGTGATTTACTATCCAATGAGGGCAAGAAAGAATATTTTCATGCATCTTTTCCGTAAAATATATCAGAACTTACAAGTGCATGAAGCATAAAGGCGCAAATTCATGCTATTTAAGTAGTCAATTTGATCGAATGCGAGTTTTACAAGAGATCGTAAAAAGAGACCCGCAAAAGCCAACATCCTAGCGAGTCCGAAATATTATGAAATAATGTCGCATGATTATCAGTATTACAACCCCACTTACGTAATCCTTCCTAGTCGAAAACGCCTTTCAGAATTTTGGCTGACATTTTGTGAGATCGGTCACTGACTGCACAACTCGCCTATTCGCAAAAAGCAGGAAGTAAAGTGTAGGGGCAGTACAGTAAGGTTTCCATGCAAGTAGGATTGTGCTATAAATTTAGCCGCCGGTTTGTATTAACTGATTGATGAAACATTGTACTCCGACTCATCTCAAAAGAATTCATTCGGGTCATAATTGTAGGGCTTTTAAAATAGCTTTTATTTTTTCTTCACATTTGGACAGTAGAATGGAGAATTAGGAGGAAGAGGAGGAGGAGAAGGCTACGATTGCAATTCCCGATAAACACGAGTCAACTGTTCTCATCAGTATTCTGACTCCAAATGGCTGCATGTCCGGTTACAGTTAGACGGACCTGATACGTTCTAGGCTGCAGACAGGGAGAACAAATGATTCGTAGTTGTGGTTTGCATGTTATCCTCCAAATTTGTTTTCCTCCCTCATACCAGTTTCCGAGGGAGTATCTTTTGCTCTCTTTTTAATGTATGTGCTTCGCCGTGTTCTCTGCCGTACTATGATGCATGAATCGTTCACCAGGTCATGTTTGGCATACGTAGACGGACTATCATAGCTCTGTCAACCACTGCGTCCAGTCCCAGTACCAGATGACTGACAGGCTCGGATAGTCAAATGTTGCATGAGAGATGGAACAGGGTAAATCCGACTTTGGTAACTCCATCCCCCGGCAATTCAGCGCATTCCTCACGATAGCAAATTCGACGTGCTTGAATCTACCACGATGCGCTGAATGTCGAGGCTTAAGGGGCTGCCAACCGACGGGATATCTCGGTCCTCGCAGTCAGTACTGTATGTGTGTGTAAGGAGTGCCTGACTGAAGGACTGAGAGCCAGGCAGCAGTGGCCTCTATGGTGCTCTCACTCAGATGGGATCCGAGCCGCCCCCTGTACTTGTGTAAACCTGGTTCACTATGTGCAGACTAGGTCGTGTGCGACAGGTGTAGACGGGGATTGTTTAGCTTCGTCGGCCACTGCACCTGAGCCAACCACCAGTGGTCATGACTCTGCTTTTCCGCCGGACTTAGGCGGGTTAGGGAGGAGGGAGTGCGGTCGATGCTGCGCATGTCTGCTAGCACCATAAACTGATTCATGTCGATATCACCATTCTGCGCCCATCTTGCTAGGAGGCACACACGGTCGAGCTAACATACACCAGGTGTTCTAACTCATGAAATGTTAACCGAAATTCTGAAATGCGTTTTCGACTCGAGATGATAGCTTAGGCGGGGTTATAATACTAATCATCGTGCAGCATAAGCCCATAATAATTCGGTTACGTCAGGATGCCGGCTTTCGGAAGGTCTTCTTTCCGAAACCTACACTTTGTATGAATGTTTCTCCCTGATCTTCGACGTTTTTATAGTTTCGAATATATTTCATAATAAAACATGTGTAAAAATATTCATTCTTTTTTCTAATTCGGCAGATAATTACACCTTCCAAGCACATACTTGAAGAAAAAGTATAATTCGGTTTTAAAAATTTTCTAATTATGAGATATTTAAGAACGTGGAATTTTCTTTCACAGAACATCGTGTCTCTGCACTTTCTTGTGTTGCTTGTAGAGTTTGCAATATGGCCCAAATCCGCTGTTAAATTTTATGAACCGCATATAGCTTCTTCCTGAAACCGTAGATTTGTATGATTCCTCGCACTTCGAAAATATACAGCTCGCAGTTTCGAAAGCCTGAATGCAAGTGTAGCGGCGGGTCAGGTTCAAAACTATTAGGGACTTGGAAAAGTTTTTTAAAACCAAATTATATCTCTCCATTAAGTATACACTTGCAGACGATGTAATTTTCTACCAAATGAGTAAAAAGGATGCATATTTTCACACTGTTCTCGATTAAGTATATTTGAAATCATGAGGTCACTTAAAATCAATGGGAAAAGTTCGTACTATTTAAGTAGTCATTTTTTCCTGACGTAACTGAATTATCACGGGATTGTGTCGCATGATAATTAATATTACAACCCTGCCTAAGCAATCTTTTCGATTTGAAAACGTACTTTAGAATTTCGGCTAACAGTTCATAAGTTAGCTCACCCACTGTATATGCTTCCATTTTCAACTTCTTCCTCCTCCTCATCCATTACCTCGTGCACACAGATAACTCAAGTTTGCGCCGGATGGCCAGTGACACCTGAGGAAGCCGCAGAACTACGTGCCGAGGATTCTCGACAAGAGGCCTACCTGAGGCAATTTGTGGAGCACCGCCTCACAACTCCACTGCCCGCCGTCAATCTTCAGTCGAGTCTGGAGGGATTACGAAGGGCACACACTGCAATCCTCGCGAGTCTTCAACGGATCGATGAGCTGGCCCAGCTGGTGAAACAGCACTTCGGTCAGACCTGTCCTAAAGTCGCTGCTATAGGCGGCGAGACCGGCCCTCGCGTCGAGTAAGTCTGCAAGCTTTAAAACTCGTGGTTTCAAACAAGCTGGGCCTCTGCCCCCCCCCATCCCCACCACCAGTGAGGTTAAGAGGACCTACTTTTTTCTCTGTAATCAAGTTTCCACTCCCAACATCTGGAATGTGAGGTCTGTCCTAAGCAAGCTGGCAGGTAAAAGTTATGAGTATTCTTCTGCTCGCTGTTAGCCCAGTCAGGCAACAATCACAATATTTCTTGTTTTGTACGAAGTCCCGTACGTGGTATGGACGCGGTGTTATCTTACGAGTGAATTAGCTTATGGTAAATTGAAATTACGAAGCACTGGCCTCACCCACCCTCCAAGCGACTATGCTCCAGTATTAGAATATATCAGGTTGACTAGGACTGGGTTTGCGAGTAGAAATCGCCGGAGCATTTCATCCTTGTCTCTCGTGTGTCGCACGCGGGCTTGTTTCTCACTTGATACGAAGCGAAATACGCTCTCCAGGAAATAAAGCCAGCGAGTTTCCACCTAACCACGTGAAGAAGAAGCCATTGAAGGCTGAGTCCATTGTTTCTGGACACCGAGTCATTTAATCGACCGGCGGCCACTTAAATCATTATCATTAAGACGCAGTAAAGGGATAGTGTTGACTATTTTTACGTCGAATGTAGTAGTGGCACTCCTTTTTCTACGTTTAACAACTATATTTGTGATATTACACGCACCCACTTCGACTCGGCAAGTGTTCCTTTTTCGGGAATTCTCTATTCTGGCTTGCATCAGTTCGCTGTCGACCGGGATAGGTATTACACTCTTGCCGTATCTGAAGCCGCCGGTAGTTGGAGTAGTGGACAACTGGTCGCGTGTCGTCCAGCTCCGGAATGCTGGTGAAACAAACATTGACGCCAGCTGCCGCCAATACACATTGGAGAAAGAGACGAAGTTCAGTGGAGCATATCTTTTGGCTTTCGGGCATTTGAAAGGCAATTCCGACTTTTCGTGATTGCAGATTTATGGATAAAAAGTTATATCAGCAGTATATTATTGCCGATAAGGACAAGCGAGACTGGAATGGCCATTTCTGGCTTATTAGCCGTCGTCAGCCAATCGCGATCGAAACCGACAGGACAACGGGCTCGTGGCCCAGTGGTTAGAGGCGTGGACTTCCAACAGGTTGCGAGTTCGAGCCTCGGGTGTTCCACACTTCGGGGTTGGGTATGACTGGCTGACGACGCCTAATAAGCCAGAAGTGGCCATTCCAGTCTCCCTTGTCTTTGCCGGTAATAACATACTGCCTATATCATGCGCCGATGTGCGGCTGCTGGTTGGTCTCGCGAGAGAGCCCGTAAGGCACAACGCAACGAGTGAGTTACGTAAGAACAATCGGTTAGCGCCCCCTACCAGTTATATAAGCATTATAGGAGCTCTGAGCAGGATATACCGCTCCGTTCTTACAGCAGATGATCGTCAGTGCCGCCAGCATTTTGACTGAGTTCTTGGGTGTCCTTAAATAGGTGTGCAAGGACACGTAAGCGGCGTACGGATCCATTTGACGGTTGACTGAGTGATCATCCATCGGTCATGCCTGCTGCAACCGTCCTTTAAGAAAACTGTGGCAACAACCGATGTTGTCAAACATCAGTATTTTCTCCTGGTCAGAAATCGTAATAAATAAATAAATAAGTTTTCATATTTAGCACCCATAAGGGTACTTCGTAGCAAGCAAAAGTGCGTTTTTCAAGTGAATTTTGAGCGAGTAGGCAAACGCTGTACAGTGTTCATTCTGTGTTCATAAAATAAGTAGTCTGCTATGAAAAACGGTTAGCGAACAGTAAAAAAACTCCTTTGAAAAAAGGCAAAATGAATGCGATTTAATCAGTTTTTGAGGAAAATACGCAGGTGGGACGGGACCATCCCGCAGGTGAAAGTAAGAGTTCGAAACGTTCTCCACCAAGGTAGTATTTCTAAACCGGACGAGGCTATTGGCTGCAGATGCAATTCTAATATTTGTGTGATGACAACAGAAGCAACCTCAAGGTGGCGAGACAAGAGGAACCCGCCGCAATCGGTCACAGTTCGTTTAGAGTCCAAATGAGGAGGGGACATTAGTGGCTGCGAGGACCATCAAAGCACTGGATGCAACCATGATACTTCTTCGCCGACTGGCCAACTTACTAGCAGAGGACGAAAACAGAAGAATTTTCCGTGACTGTCAATAGATCAGTTGGGGTCAAAATGATGAGATGGCATTAAAAAAACCGCGAAAATAATCTCTGTAGGGTAGGAGTAGTAACAGTGGATTAGGCAGACAAGTGAAAACAGGAAGTTGTAAAAATCTCAGTGAAATTTTTCACTTGAACAAGTAAAACAAGTATTGCCTGCCAGTAAGTCCTAGAAGGACCCTTTTCAAAGTCCAGACTTGGATTGTTCGTGGACGAAGCGGTCAGTAGTAACTTTGTGCTCTCCGAGTTAAGGTGCATAGGCAAGTGCGATCTGAATACCATTAACTTAGTCGTTGAGCTAAGTTCAAGTGAAAGATTGATCCAAAGCAAGGCATATCTGGATGCAAAAAAGAGGAAGCACTTAGACAAAGGGAAGAGAGGCGGCGGAATCCCCATGGAGGAATTACGAGTTGCATAAGACCGATCTCTCGGAGCGAGATCGTCAGTACATGGAAGACTGGAGGTAGAGTTAGCGCGAAATATGGAAGAAAATTCCAGCTTCGAGTCTTCTAACCCGAGAAACTTAATGTTGACTCAATGACATTTCTCAGTGTATGAAATATCAGACCCAGCTTGAGAGAGGAGTTTTCGAGCAAAAACGCTCCGAACACTATCAAGTTTGTTATTGTCACAGGCGGTCATTAAACCAAAGAAACGATAGCAGAATTAAAGGATGGGAAGAGCGGACATCTGATAAGGACTTAGTTTTATTTTCGGAAGGAAAAAATAATAGGATGTAAACCCACATATATGTGTAGCTTGAGGTGATGAAGCAAGTCTAGTCCTTTATGATGGAGCATTCGGAGAGTGGGTTATTCTGAAAAATTATAGGGCCAGGAAACATAGCAGAACCTTAGAAAACGAACAAGCACCCTTAATGTCATCGGCATAAATGAACGTTTGCAAATTGCCGATTTCAGTCGAAATCTCACTGAAGAAGAGTGGCGGAGTCAGAACCGTGCCTTGTAGTTTGAGATGTCGAGCACCTATAACTAACCACAAATTCCTGATTGCGGCTGGATAAGTAGAGCCTGGTGAAGTCGGGTAGAAGAGGCCAGACTCAGAGGGCTTCCAATTTTACCAAAAGACGTCTAAGTAGCATCTTGTCGAGGGTTTTGTTAGGATCAAAGTAAATAACTACCACTGGGCGCTTCACTTGTCGGCAAAATATTGGATCGGGCTTGTGAGCGACTCACACTCCGAGCGGCACGAGAAGTCCAGTAGCGGTCTCTTTTTATGCGATGAAAGCTCCTCGGCTGATCGATTTCCTTTGTCTTGATCTCTTTGAGACCACCGATTTCTCTCCACGCTTTCCAGTCGGTTAGTTAACTTCGTAACATGCTCGGAGCCAGTCACCCTGGTTATGTGAGCGACGGTCAAATGTGCTGGCCACTGGACTACTGGCCCATGTGATCCGGACAGGTATATTCCGCCAATGCCTCGTAGCCGACGCATGGGCATCGCAGTCATTTAAACAACAGTGCGCATTCGGCAAGAAGCAGGTGTGTTCACTTCGTCCTTGAATCAACTTAGGCGGGGAGCTGGAACTAAACACGCAATGCGCACCTACAGTCGCAGTATCGACAGTTTAATGATCAGCTGTCGAAAACCTTGAAACATCTGATCCTCTCTCCACCCATCTCCAGTGTGCCTGTAAAACATTCCTTTTTTATATCTAACTGTATAGTCTTGTCTGAACTTAGTTAAAGGATGTGGACTATGATCGTCAACGCAGGACATGTCGAGTGCGCCCTCATTCATTGGCATAGGTTGTGCCGAATGTTACCTAGTTCGACCCCACTCTGTGAGGCAAGCCTCTAGCAGTGCTCCTTTCCATGCTCCCTGTAGTCGACGCTGAGGAAAGAATTGTTGCTCTTTGATGTAAATGCTTGCGGTTTTGGTGGACGCATGTATGAGTCGACTCTTTGCGACTGTTTTATGCGACAGCAACGAACTGCCAAACCGAAAACCAGTCCTTTTAGGGTAATAGCCATATGCGAAACTCTGCGGAAGACTTTTGTGCTTAAACCACACGCTACTGATGAGTTACAGGCGTACGCACGTGACTTTCCGCTGAAGTGGCCGGTATTCGGCGGAAAGCCCAGCACAAAAATGACTAGCGATGGACGCAACAAGGCCTGTTCTGACGAACTTGCTCCAGGTTCTTCCGCTGCCCTGGGATGAAAGCATAAAACAGCACTGTACTGCCAGATGACAGGAACCACATGCGGAGACCCTGGTAACTGGTAGAGGGGCGTTCACTGATCGCTTTTCGAAACTCACTTGCCCCGTTTTGACCTGGGGCGCTCTCTTGAGCCCCGCCAGCAGTCTCATGGCGGCGCGAAATATAGACAGAATGGCGTTGTCGACAGAGACAAGGAAGACTGTAATGACCATTTATGGCTTGTTAAACGTCCTCAGCCAGCCATGACCTACCCCGAGGTGTGCAACCCCTGCGGCTCGTCGTCTGCGGCCTTTTAGAAATTCAACACCCTAACCACTAAGCCACGGGCTCGTTGTTCTGTCGGTTGCGATCGGGTTTATACAGTGGTAGAGGGGCGCACCAGGGAGTACACGCTTCAGGGATGGGTATGACCGGCTGAAGACGGCTAATAAGCCAGAAGTGGCCATTCCAGCCTCTCTCGTCTTCATTGGTAATGCTTCTCTACCCTGGCAACTACTGAAGGGGTTTCCGTCAAAGGTAAGAGAATGGTCGGTTCTAAATTATTAGCCATATCCTGCCCGGAGTTTGAGGCAACTGGGATTCGAAACCGAGATCTTTGGTCATTGAGTCGAATACTCTGTCAG